AAAGGAATTTAACGTTCCATTTTGCCCCAAACGTTAATTGCTGATGGGTGGCATTTTTCCAGCATTCCTGCTGTAGGATTTGTATTGCAGGGGTTCAAAGAACGATAGCTGTAACTTTCCTGGATTTTTCCAGACTTTGGCTGTCCAGCCAAAGCTGCATGTGACCTTTGGTCAAGCCAAAACGTGCAAACCTGAGAATTATCCTGACTCTGCTGTGCAATGGAAATTGTGCTGCCCTCAAAGGGTTAAGCTCAAATTTTGGAAAAAGCCGCTTCCCTGCATAAGATGTGTACCTTCATTTTCAATTCTCAAAATTCATATTTTTTTGAAACTACAATTGGTAAAATTCTAAATACAAGCCCACTTCAAATTAACTTCAGTGTTGATGTTTTATCTTATGCAAAATAACAAAGAATCGTTAAAGAGGAAACCTTCACAAAAAAACATTTAAAAGGTGGAAAAAGTTTGAAGCTTAAGAAAATGTGTTGGGAAAGTCATACATACATACCCAACTATGATGCGCACTTTTTTTTTCTCAAAATTGAGAGAAAAAAATAAGGGGGTGTGTATCCTGGGCGGGTATACATTTTGCAAAAATTTTTAAAAATTTATGGGCATGCATTATACTTTACTTGATTCTAACAAGAAATTTTGACCAAGTTTTGCAGAAAAAAAAAACTCATTTTGATGGAAGCAATTTAGAAGTACAGTAGTTGAATTCATTTTCAATTCATGTCCAAATTCAAACTTTGGTGTTCTGTTTTAAATATTCTGGGTTTAGAGATGCTAAAAATGGGATGCGCATCTTACTTGGGGATAGAAGTGAAAACCATTTTTCAACTGAATCGCCCAGTGTGCACGTCTTGTTCAAGGGCATGGGTGGGAAGCTCCTGAACTGGCGACATCTGTTGGCGTTGGATCGCGATAGATGTTGAAAGTAGAAGAGTTCTCAAATAGATGTTATTCTGTCAGGTCAATCTTCGAAGAAAAGTACCTGTACAATACTGTACTGTATACTGTAATTTCGAAAATATCGAAATTCATCATCTCATCCAAATCACTGTTTCTCGTCTTTTTCAAGTACATGGACCTCCACAATCCAAGTTGAGCTTTCCCCATCAAAATTCCATGTTGTATCCTTGCCTATACCCCACGAATCCAATGCAATTTTTACGCCTATACAATTCAAGTCAAACCTCTCAAATTTGAATGTTGAGGTTTTTCAATATTAAATCGGGCTAGATTTTAGAATGTATCTGATTGGTTTGCCTTGGTGGAGCTGGAAAATTTTTTTCATGCTCGCCACAAGGGCTTATGCATCAAGGCATCTTCCTGTAGGTAGAACATCTATAAATACAGTAATGCACACTCATCATAATTGTGCAAGCAAAATATTCTCATTTACTGTATTAATGTAACCAAAGTGAACCAAACTTCCAAACTTGAAACTCTCTTTGCGCAGATTTTCTTTTCAAAATTTTATAAGCATGCTGAATACAGTTGTGAGGGAGAATAACTAGTCCTGGACGAATGATAAACTTTAATGCAATGCAATTCTTGATTGAGAACAAGCTTGTTCATTCTAACAATGCCTGAGCAGAAACAGTGAAATTGTGCCAATGTATCTATGTCTGCACAACTAACAACACCCCTCAAATTGTTTGTCTTAAAGAGCATGTAAAGCATTTTTAGTACACAAACCCTGCAACCATGATTAATATATTGCACAAACCCAAAAGGGCCCTATATGGCCCACATGTGGGAATTGCAGTCCGCCTACCCCAAATCCCCAGTTTTGAATTGAATGTGCAGAAAATGTCCACCGCCACTCCACACATCTTTGCATCTTTCCCTCCTTGGCAAACATACACAAAGAACAGCAAGATCAGTTTCCTATTGGCCAGACATACAGTGGACCCAGCAACCTTCTTGGAACTTGACCATGAAGCAACTTCTTTTTTCCAGGCAGCTTCCCTAAGTAAGCAACCTGGCAAATGCCACAACCTTTGATCAGGGAAAGCTTCTTGCAACCAGTTTCTAACCAATGCAGTATACAACCAATCTCTTTAGCAACCCACATGAAAATCAAATCAACTGGCTCGCATCTTCAGTATTCCTTGATTTGAAAGACCCAACCTTCCTCAACTGCCCCACAGCAGAATAAACCACCCCAAGGCTACAGAACCATAACTCTATGAAGTATTTCTATTTCCAGTCACCCAGAAAATCAGCAATGCAAACTGTGGCGCTACATCTACTAATCAGATGCTAAAAATGCTTTGCTTGAAGAAGGGGAGTAACTACTGCGGAACTGCCACATAATGCACCAAGACCAAATAGGTGCGCAACAACAATCAGTCCACAGCATGTCTTCTTTTTCTGAAATTACCCATCTCAGACCAGACCTGAACTCCAGTGGGACTTTAAATTGATATAAAATGTTATCTTGGCCTGGGTGATGAAATTCCATAAGAGAAAATATTTTGGCGATGATACAATTTTTACAACAGTCGTTTTGGGAGGTAGTGGATCACTGATTTTTACTGGAATACTGTTGGTAAGCCTGGGTCTTGCTGAAACTTTGGAACGGCGCCAAAGAGGATTGAAACGGCTTAAACCCTTCTTGGTTGGTTTCAACTTGGTCAATCTTCCATATGCCAGCAACCTTGAAGGAGTTATCAGGCCAGTACTGACAAAGGTTATTTGAAGTAAGTAAAAATGCCCACTCAGCCTTTAGGAGGCCGGATCCTCCTTATTGGAGTCCCTTTGAAGTTCTTTACTCTCACATGCAAAAGTACATCACATGCAAATCAGGCACAGAACAGAGCTACCCTACAGACACACAAGAACCAAACAAAATGTCAAGCACACAAGAGACGTCCTATCAGAGTAACATCCTGAAGCAAGGCTCTTGGAGAATTAACAAGCTTCCAAACTCTTCAAATCCTTTGCTGCCCGTCAATTCCTATCTTGCCACCTGGTTTACCACAATGCAGCAAACTGGGTATGCAATGGGATTCTGCTCCACATGCCTGGTGATGTTGGCATGCCCTGGGCAAGGATGCCGCACTCAGGCCATGCCACAATGCAACCCAACAGGAGTGCAGATGTCGTGAGGGTTAATCATTCCCAAATAACATGAGCCTTGGCAAATGGGAAAAACGTCAGTCTTGCAGTTGTCGTCACCCCAGAAACCATCTGGAAGTTCAATCTTGATTAAAAACTATGTGGTCCAGTGGGGTTCCTGCTAATTAACTTAGCTAGCTTGTAGCAGAAAATACGTTAGTGATTGGCTGACGTACATTACGTGCAGGAGAGAAGTATTGAAGAGCCTCAATCCCTTATCCAGTCATGTTACAGTACTTTCCAGTTGATTTCCCCTGAGTCAATGTATTGATAAAGTTACAATACTTACCTTACATAGTTAAGTATTGCCTGTGTGAACCATGATTTGTATAAGATCGACAGGAGGTAATTTTACGGTAATACAGACCGTACTGTATATACCTAGTGTACAGTAATTCGAAATTTTATGATTCAATTCCACAGAAATTAGCATAGTTTACATTGTCAAAATGCTCAAAATTGAGAAGCTTTCAATTTTTGCAGATTTTACACAAAAATCACGAAGAAATAGGTGAGGTGTTATCCAATGCTCCAAGTGCTCACCCCATTCCATAAACTCTTCTCGAATGCTCACAGCAGGTAAGACCAAGAACTCAGGAAACGTTTTGACATTCCAAGTGATGATTAAGTTTTTCAGTTGAAATACTCGAAGTACCACCAACTATGATGAACCTTCCCTGGGTGATGCATATGCATGATTGAAATGCATGTAAGAATTACTTAAATATATAATGCTGCTGCATATTTTTCACAAGTGCATGTTGGCGCGAAATTATAGGGATGCTGAAGTAGCAAAGATAAATTATCAAAAAATTTTGAAATTATATTTCGATACTGCATTGCAGATTCATGGATGCCACAGACGCACTTGGTCAGTTATTATCTGTTACATCATGTGCATTATTATACGTGATCCGATAAAAAATTTAGATTGTGTAGAGCTTCACATTAAATCCTCACAGCCATTGCATGGATATGAATTAACAATTTTTTTGCAAGGAGCAGAGCAATACTAAGGCGTAGAAGATTTTTCTCCCGCGGTAGACGACAGACGAGATTTGTAATTAGAATTTCGTTGGTCTCATCTCTATCCTTCAGTTCTGCCGCATTGAAACTGTGTGCACTGAAGTGTTCTCTGATTGACAATTGAGAAATTGACCAGCATTCAGTGTATGCAGTCGTAACAGCATGGTTGAGCGGCGAAGTATGCAACCAGCACTACCAGCAGTAAACATATTGCAGCAGTGCATCAGAATCACATTATGCGTTTACCCCACCGTTGATACATGGGAAATACGAGAAGATACTTTGGGGTTAGGATTTTAGTTGCTGAAAGATTTGATCCTCAATAAACACCTTGTAATATTCTGCCGTGAGATCCTCTATTGCGATACACGCACGAATCGTCGGGACTGCAGTAACGGGCACTTCAGTGTGCACGCGAATTGAGATGCAGCGACATTCTCGCGACACCTAGCTTATGCATACTAAAGTGCCGGAGTTACGAAAAAGAAGATGTCGCTAAAAACAATATTACACGAATGGCAGTTGGTTGTGTTATGTCATATTTGATGGTGATGCTCCGATCGTTTAAAGTGATTATCAAACATTTTTATTCCTGAGACAGCTATAATGAATACAACACATGATTTATGAAGCACTTGCATATACGTCCATGCCGTGGAAACGAACACATAATGAGCAAAGTTCTTGGGATGTATGCAATGAATCATACGTACGAACACAGTATAGGTATACAGTATTCCTCAACTTTGTTAGCTATTAGTGTAGGTGCTCCATGTATTGAAAAAAAGCTTCTTTATTCCGCTGGTGGCGTTGGATATAAATGCAATGTGCGCTATACGACTGTGTATGCATGGGATTGCATCTTAGGTAAGTTTCCTAATTTAAATTGCAGCAATTGTCAATGATAGCATTCTGTATATAGGCAGCAAAGGGCAGGTGTCAGTGCAGGTACTCCTTGCTACATCATACTGTATATGAATTAAGTCCCTGTATCAGTCGTGAACTGAAATTATGTTTGTCCTGCTATTGCTTCTGGGTAATCATGAAAACTTGTCCTATAAAGAACTACAGAGCAAGAGCGATACAGTGCAGTAGCCCAATTTCCGATGTTTCACCAGCATTCGGGCAATTGTGCTCATCAGACATTCAGTGCCGGAAATCCCCTCCTGCTGTAGAACCCAACGCAAATTTACGGCTTGCGTGGGTTTAATGATGAGTCTCTGTGGTTCTAGCGGACAATATGGCCGCGCTCTGGACGCTCCACGCCAGTCGCAATCACCCAAGGTTCTCCTGCGTTGATAAGTGGTTAACTGAAGTGGACCAAAGAATGGTGAAACAAGAAGATTCGGGTTCGGTGGTTCCGCGCATCCAGCTCCTCGCGTTGATAATTTGTATTCCAAGCCGAATTCAGCTCTCTGTGCATATCGCGCTTTAGATAAATCGGATGTGGTGTGCCATTGCTTTGGCGATTAAGTGATTCACTGTACTTTTCCTCTCTTGCTGATTCACGAGTGTTCTCGGATCTCGCGGGGATATTATATATCTCTGAGGCCTCTTACGACAGTGATTGCCAGGGATGAATTCTCTACATCTCTGTTCATGTTGAGAACAACTGGTGGTCGCATTGTTCGACGTGTTTGATTGCCCGAATATCAGGTTTCCGCCGGTTATTATATACGCTTGAATTTTCGCGTAATTGTTTGCTCGTTGTAGTACAATATTTACATCTTTTCTTGAGATAATTGCCTAGTGAAGTGGGTAGATGTTGCTATTGACGAAAGTTTTCTTCAGCTATTCAGGTTGTTGAGTTGCCGAAAATTTATGACCCGAGTTCGTGTGAATACTGACAAAATCCTTCAATAGTTGGTGAGTATATCGTTTCTTATTGATTCGGAGGACTCGTCTCCTGCGTTTTTCCAGTCTGCATGCATGAAAATATTAATCATTTGTTAGTCGCAACGTCGCGTAAGCAAGGTGGTACGTTGAAATGTTGAAGCGACTCTTGCCGTGTTGTGTAGGTGTTGCATTGCGCTAATTATTTTCCTGGTTTTGTACAGCTATGATGTGACCGCGTATTATGTATTCCCAGAGACCAGAATCTCGTTCGTCACCCAATTATTCCAGCATGGACGAAGCAAATGAGAAGAAAGGCAATGATTTCATTCAAGAAGCTCGGAAGAAATTGAATTCGAAGGGCTTCCTCGGTGGCCTTTTCGGGTATGTAGTATGAAATGAAAAGTTTCGGAGCTTCTTGTGCGAGGAATGAATTCTTCGTAGATCGAGTTCGAAGGTTGATGAAGCCGTGGAGCTGCTCGGACGAGCTGCGAATTGCTTCAAGATGGCTAAGAAGTGGAGCGCAGCGGGAAGTGCTTTTTTGGAGGCCGCGAAACTTCATTTGGACAACGGTTCCCGGCACGATGCTGCGACCATGTTTGTTGATGCGGCTACGTGCTACAAGAAATCTGAGCCAAACGGTATGCACTGCAGGGCTTTTCTAATCGCCTAACGTGGAAGGGTTTTCGAACAACTTTTACCTTCGTGTTATTTTTTTTTGCATGACGGTGCGGGAATATTGCTTTTTTGTAGAGGCTGTCAACTGCTTGCTTAAAGCCATCGAAATATACACGGACATGGGAAGATTCACGAGTGCTGCGCGACACCACATCAGTATTGCAGAGATATACGAAACTGATCTTTGTGACTTGGAAAAGGCTATGCAGCATTACGAACAAGCTGCGGATTATTACAAAGGAGAGGAGAGCACTAGCAGCGCGAACAAAGCTATGCTCAAAGTCGCACAGTATGCAGCCCAAATGGACAAGTTCGAGAAAGCGATTTCGATTTACGAGAATGTGAGTTTTTGGTGTTAGCCATGAGTGTGGGATTCTTTTTGAAATTTTCACTGAATTTTTCTGTGTAGTCTGCCGACAGTGCTCTGGGCAGCAGCCTTTTGAAGTACTCGGCCCGTGAATATTTCTTCAAAGCAGCTATCTGCCACCTTTGCGTCGACTCCCTGAACGCGCAACAAGCGTTGAAAAGGTACGAAGAGAAGTACCCGGCATTTCAGGATTCTCGTGAGAACAAACTGATCAAGACGCTCATTGAGAACATGGAAGAAAACAACGTAGAGGGGTTTAGTGAAGCTATTAAAGAGTACGACACTATTTCACGCTTGGATCCGTGGTACACCAATATGCTATTGAAGGTGAAGAAGGGTATGAGCGAGTCCGAGTTATGCTGAAAAAGTTGCACCCTTCTTTTGCGGTTTGCCTAACCATCCAATTAATTCTTTTGGCTGGAAGATTCGTGATGAAATATTGATCGTCCCTCGGTGGTTCTGAGATTTCTTCATGTTGTTGGGAGTGGTGGAATCAGATGAGTGGCAATTTTGTGCTGATTGACTTCATTCCAAGTCGTTTTCGGCAGTTCAATCAAGTGTGTAGGTTCACATGGCATGTGAGGCTTACTATGCCTATGACTCATAGATTTTGATTTTAAACAATGCATGGTTGCGGATTCCATTGGGTATCGCCTCCACTTCTACGAATGAATCCGAAGTGTGCAGAAAATGTAGCTGCATTCTCTCCATATACGACTAGAACATCATCTGGTCTTTCATCTGCATTGAGTATTCTGGAGAGTCGGGTTTTCTGAAGAACCCTATCCTGGATTCTCTCGAAAATAGCTTTTTCACTCATGTTACGGCGAAGCGCACGTTCTGAATTACTCGAGTTTGAATTGGAATATCATTTTTTATTGAGTGATTGGTGTCATATGATGGATTGTTCCCTAGATTGAATCGTAGAAGTTTTCGTGTTACGAGTTGTGGCGTTGATTGTTTGACGTGTTGATCGCTTTCGGTAGTTCAGTTCATGAGTCATCAGAAGTGGATTTATCGCGTTATCCTGCTTCTGAGGCTACGATGTTTTACCACTTTCCTGTGTGTGCTTGAAGGTTTGCGAGAGCTTCCGTCGTCAGTTATCATACCTGGGGCTTGGTTGGGATTCCTTGGATTTTGTTGACTTAAGGGGAAGTGATGCATCGATCTCAATTCAATAATGTAGTTGTCGGTTGGGATAAATCCGTTGTAGTCGCGGTTAACGTCACGTCGTTATTGTGTGTTTTCGGGGATTCAGGATCATTTTTGCCGTCTCCCTGCTGGGTTTATACCAGGTGGTGCATCATTCCTGTTTTTTTCATGTGATGATCGTGAGTCATGAGTCGCGTCGTTATCCCGGGAATATACTTTCAATTCTTTTTTTTGTGCTTGAACGAGGTCAAGTAAATGATTGATCTGTTACTTTTTTCGTTGAAACTCAAGAAATCTCTTGCTCTCTAGAATCGTATTGAAAAATTAATGACTATATCTTCAAATATTCAACCATTCAATTCCGGTTACCTACTGAACAAGTCGTGTCCTTCGTTCAGTCGTTTGATTTCTTATCGTGCCACCCTCCCATTGAGGAATTTAGCGCATGCAGAAAAATATGGATGCGTGATTGTTGAACGTGAATATGTAGAACGCGGCGAGGGTTGCGAAATTTCAAGTTAAACCGTATTTCATATCTTAATTGATGATCGTAACTCTTGATGTGACTACTGTTCAGTTTCTGTATCCCGCCTTTGTTCAAAAGGATCGTTGTCATTTTTAAACGAGTCGCAACATTAGCTTTCCGCCTCTGTCCAGATGGGTACGAGTGAATTCACGAAGAACTTGACGCATTCGATAACCATCAGATTTCATTTTCGATTGTGAAGAAAATTGTCGCTAAGCATCAGTGATATTTCAGGTGTTGCAGTGATTGTTTTTGGTTCGCAGTGTTTTTCACTTTCCTTTGTGATGACTTTTTGTCCCGTCTTTGGGCCGGGATTATCGGTCTTCTGTCTGATCATCAGCATTTGGGGAGTCATTCAAATGGTGAGAGATATTTTTGATGCTCTTCCTTTAATACATTTGAACTTGACATGTTTTTTTCTTTTCCAGGCATTGATGGGGCTATTCTTTTACATCCGAAGTGTTGCGCTGATCGAAGACATACCGTTGACGGAAGAAATCAAGCGTTCTCCGGAAACGTTTTTCTCAAGAGTTGATGAACTTTATGATCAGGCGAGAAACTAACCAACAAATCTAATCCTGTTATGAAAAATAATTTTCGTGTATTTTCTTCAGAGTGCGGACAACTGCTTCGTGGCTGCGTGTCTCTACATCGTTACGATGGTCTTTTCTCTGTGGCAGTTCCTGATGAACAGACGCATATCTTTTCAGGTATAACGCGCTCACGAGCGTAGTAGCTAGTATGCAGTGTAATCTAGGCATTCGCATCTGAAATGCGCCGCCAGTGTAGTTGATGATGTACAAGCGAAATCGAAGTCTCAAACTCGGCCCTTGCATTGGGCATCTTTCCAGGGAACTCAGTTTTCAAACCCTTTGTCGGATTGAAAGCGGTCGTCTTCCGGGTGTCCGGGTGACGAGCTCGCCAGCTTACATATACGAAGTGTCTTCCTCAGAAAGCACCACCGCTTCCCTTTCTAAGCTTTATCGTCGCGATCGTGTGATTATTTTCGTGTCGCACTTCCGATGTATCCGTTGCCTTAAGCCTACGCAGTATTGTTGATGGCTGTGGTCACGTTGTTCTTGGCCTTTCCCGCTTAGAAGATTCACTCCTTAGGGAGCATGGTGGTTCAAAGACACTAAAGCTGGTCTAGAGTTCAAGTCGCATCGTTCTGCTGGATGAGCCACGCATTGTTTCAACTGGTGAACGTCATATTCCAAAGTTCTGAGGCCTTCTGACATACGTCACTCTGGTTTCAAATTGATACTGTATTTATGTAATCGAAGTTCAAGGATTTTGATTTTTGAGAAGAGAACCATGGCGTTCCGAATGGTGGAATATTCAGCGGAAAGTATCGCGTGCATGGCGATGCGACGTGAATCCTGCACCAGCTTGAAATGGAGCATTGTCTCATTGTTGGCTGTCTCTTTTGTGTTTTACGCTTCTGACGCTCTGTCGCTGCATGAACCCCTTAACCCTCCTTAAACTAACCCTACCCTGATACCTTGCAAACCTTGTTTCCTTGACCTATCCACGGCATTCGGCCAGCCGCGACTAGAAGGCAGATGGTCCCAACACGGATACCAAGCAGTTCCTCGACACGAGCCCGTCGACCCACGCGAGGAGAGAATGGGGCAGTCAGCGTTGGAGGCCCTCTGGCAACGGCGCGAGTTCGGGACAACGTTACGGCGGCGTCGACTTGCACCAGGACGACGACGAATCCACAGTGGCTCTGATACCAAAACGAGCTGGACGGCAGGAGCGCCAGCCGCTGTTGGGTTCGCGCAGCCGACGTTAGCTGTAAATAGGCGCTCTGTTTCACGGACATCGCGAACTTGACTCGACTACCCGACTCCGCACCTGACCTCTTCTTCCGCAATGTGTCACTTGTCCACCATGTTCTGAGAAATCGTTCGTCTATGTTCTTGATCATCAAGCAAGGCTCCTTGTGTGCATTTCTTTATGCCATTCTGATGAAAGTTGGCATTGAACTTTTTCCTATTGAAGCAGTCCTTGGATTTTATACTACATGTCCAGAGTTCGGTTTTGTCGACTGTGATCCTGTAACAGTTAATGTGAGCCTTGTTCGTTGACAGACCCGAGAGCTTCCAAAATTATTTTTCGGATTCCGTCGGAGAAATCCTTTCGAGTTCATAAGGGCTTGGATGGTTTTTTCTTAGCTCCAGGCCATTGGATTAAAGCGGGAACGGTCTTGAACATCGTGGTTTCGCTGGCGTCCAATACGGAACCGAGTGCCTTGAAATGCTGATTCAGATGGACATGATGCGGAGAAGCTTCCTTTTTTTTTATTCGCTGTCGCGTGCTCCATGGAAACGAAGCTGCGGTGGATTCCTTTATTGTTCGGCATCCGACCTCGCAAACTTTTCTTTGATAAAACACGATTGTGATATGTTTTTTTTTTCGGGTGTTGCTACGTGTTTCGTCAGAGTTTGATTAAAGGTTTACGGGGGAGTTTTTCTTGAATATCAAATTTAATATGAGTGTAGATCGGGCAGTAAGAGGAAAGGCATGCATGGGCTGTGGCCGTGGAAGTAAGTTCCAGAAGTTCTCCGATGTTGAAGTAGCTAGTTGTCTGCCGGAGTTCGATTGAGCTGCTCTGGGAAATGTCAACGCTGATGAAGTTCACCCTCGCGAGAAGCGCAGGATTTCTCGAAAGGAAAGTTGAAGCTAATCCCATGTTTTCGCCGATTTCCCGAAACGAAACACGAAAAATAAGTGGCCTGTAGGATCATTCGTCAAGATCCTGAAATTACGACAGATTTCCGACTAGTATGTTAAGTGTACGGTGACCAGACTGAATTTCCGGTGTGTCCTAGTCTGGAGCACATCAATCTAAGTAATTTTTGTTCATTGTCGTTGCCAAATTAGTTTCTTTACCGGGATTTAATGCCGGAAGTGGCTGGAAACGTTTTCTGGTTCCTCAGTGCGTGCATGTAGTGGAAAAAAGATGAAACGTGATGAGATGGTCGAATTCATGCTTCGTAAATTGATTCACCGAGTTCGCTGAACTATTCACAATATTTTGTGTACTGCCATCAGTTGTGAATGTCATGACCTTTGTGTACTTGCGATTAATTTAACTTGGAAGTGAGCCTAACTAGCCTAATCCCCTGATGTACAGTAATTGATGATTGTGTGTGGCTTCTCTCTGCGACAAACTTGGGGACCAGAGAAGAATTTTTTGTACAGAACCCTCTGTAGAACTGATGCCCTATGCCAGGCCAACTATAAAAAATTTGTTACAAGGTAAATTTTCACTGTACAGTCTACCTAAATGATCAATGGGCATCCACAGGAAGATTTTCTGTAGATGAAGTTGAGTTTTATGATATCCAAGGAAATTCTCCAGGGTGCTGAACTTAATTTTTTTAGATTTTCATTCAAGTGATCCCCTGAAATGATCCATGGTTCACCGGTGACCAACATTTATTCTGGACACATATTATGTCCAGGACACATATATATATCCTTATGGAGAAAGCTAAAAATGTAGAAATGGAAAGGCAGTGAAGTTACCTTGTTGATACCGAGACTCATTCCTCTTTCCATGTGGAGCTCTAAATTTGTTCTGTGGGAGAACCAGTTTGCCATTCGACAAGGTTGAACTACTCATGCTTTTTGGTATATTGGACATCCTATACTGGAAGTGATGAAGTCAAATAATCTA